GGTGTCCTTGCCTCCTGATGCCCTTTGAGAGTCACTTAGCCTTCATGTGTCACCAAAAATTCCCCGAGTTAGTGCTTGCACTGCCCCTGGGAAGCAGACTCCCCCCTGCCCCCATGTGTCAGGAAACCTCTGTGCCAGGAATGGAACCACGTGTAGCATTGGGCAGAGGCCCAGGCCCCTCTGAACGGGGCTGCGTGAGTGGGCCGGTGTCCAAGGCAGGGAAACTCCCTGTGTGCATTGCATTAGTGACCGCAGGGCAGCTGGGGCCATTTACTGCTTGGTCAGCCCAGACGTTGGGACATGGAGACTGGCTTTTGGCAGCCTCTACTGTGGAAAGTCAGGAAGCCAATTATTTGGGCTGCTGTTTTTCTGGGTAAATGTGCTGGTTTTAATCTATTGGAAGCCTGCCAGCAGCTTTACGCAGCTCAGCCCTGATGGTCCTTGATGTTGGCCCCTCTGGGAGGAGGTGGCCAGCATTTGAGAATCCCCAGCACACTGTAGCTCCAGGTTGTATCAGACCTTTTGACATTTAAGGACCCAACAATGTATCTCAAAACAAAGCAGAGACAAGTTCCCTTTGAATCACAGAGCTCCCTCTTTGAAGTGCTGTTCTTTCCTGTTTCTTTCTCCTCTCTCTACCTTCTGTCCAGTCCCTGGGTCAAGTTCTTAGGATCATGTTTTGGTCACTCTTTTCCTGGGTCTTGCCCAGTGTAATGGGCTGAATAGATGTTTCCAGAACCCGCTGAGTTAGTCAGAATCTTCCCTCCCTGCCTGATTCTTTGAGTGATGAAGAATGCTTGTTTTCCCCTCTTCCCCCACGAAAGGGAGAGAACAACAAACAAACAGTGGTACCAATAGCAGAGGACAAAGGGTCAGTTACTGCACATGGACCATTGGTGGGGCAGGGCCACCCTGGTAGGGGAGACTCTGATAGTGTTAAGAAAGAGATGCCTGGGTGAATGCAGCCTGCTGGTGTATAGGGAAGAAGTAACCCATCGAAGAAAGGAAAGAAAAATTCCTTGTAGAATTACCTATAATAGGAACCAGTCAAAATGTAAACTACATGGTAATGATCATCTGAAGGCAACTCCATGTAATGGCTTTTTGTTGTTGTTGGGTGTCCTGGAGTCGCTCACTGACCCCATGTGGCAATAGCACTGCTGTGTAGGGTTTACTCGCTGTAATCTTTATGAGAGCAGGTTGTGAGCTCTTGCTATCACAGAGCTGCCACGTGGGCTTTTATACAGCGTTTTGGTTAGCCGCCAAACGCTTAGGTCGCGCCACCAGGGCCCCTTCATTGGTATGGGTCAAAGCCGACTCTGTGGCAGCTAAGGATGACAACAGATACTTAAAATAAGTCCTCTGAAGACCATGTAGACACTTCCCGCTCTCATTGCCATCAAATCAGAACCAACTCATAGCTGACCCGCCAGTGGGTTTCCAGAACTATTAATTGCACCGTGGGCATTGCCTGTTTTCTTCCATGGAGCACCTGGTGGATTCAAACTGCTGGAGAAGTGCCGCCTTTAGCAGCGGCCCGCCCTCCTCAGATCTTCCTCTTTTCCACTGATCTCCGCTTCACACCAAGTGTTTTGTTCTTCCCTAGGGACTGGTCCGTTCTGCTAACATGTCCAAAGTAAACGAGACAAAGTCTTGGCTTCCTCGATTTTAAAAAGCATTCTGGCTGTACTTCCAAGATGGATTTGTTATTTTCTGGCACTCCATGGTATATTCAATACTTTTTACCAGCGTCATAAATCAAAGGCTAAGTAATTGTCTTTTTTTCCCTAGCTTTCAATCCTTAATAAAATGGCCATAAAATTATTTATGCTACTGGCTGTGATGTTGATGTTGTTGACTACAACTCATAGAGACCGTATGAACAACAGATCTGAACTTTGCCCTGTCCTGTGCCATCCTCAGGATGTCTTATGCTGTCATGAGATAGTAGATTTTCTCTTTTCTAGTTTTCAAGATTCCTTATTTTTATTTTTTTGTATGGTGGAAAAATTTTGTAAAATTTCAGAAAGATGTAAAGATATTTCTTTTGGGTGCTGGTGGCTAGGAAGCTTCTGCTTGCTCCTCTGACTTCTGGTAGCGGGCCTGCCTTGGCTCTGCCCCAGTTTGCTGCTTCTAATCGGCATAGGGCTGGGAAACCAGACAGCCACGCTTGTTAGAAGCAGCTGCTGTCAAGTTGATTCAGACTCATGATAACCTCTTGTGTGTTAGGATAGAACTGTGCTCCGTAGGGTTTGAAGTAGCTGGTTTTCAGGAGTAAGTTGTCAGGCCTTTCTCCAGTGGTGTTTCTGAGTTGACTCAAACCACTGATCTTTCAGCCTCCTAAGCTTATTAGAAGGGAGTGAAACCTGTAGGGAACTGTGCTGCTAATTCATTGGCAGTGTCTGTGTGGCAGTTTGAATCCACCACTGACTCCCTCCCAGGAAGAAAGATGTGCGATCTCCTCCTGTATGATTCACAGCCTCAGAAACCCATTGGAGGATCAGCTATGAGTCGGTTTCAACTTGTGACATGAAAAGAGAAGGTGTGTCTGAAATGTAAATAAGATGTGAAGCTGCTACAAAATGCTTTTGATCTGTGACTCCTGCACCTTTCTTCTGGAAACATTTTCTGTGAAGGAGCAGTGTTTATAAAGTGCTGGGGCAATGCATGATCTCACCTGGCACTTGGCTACTTCACGTCGCCTTCCTCCCGTCATGCACTCACCAGTCTGCTGTGGAAGCTTGTCACGGATGTGCATGTCGCACTTGGTAACAGCAAGTGCTGATGAAATAATTTGCCTGCTCTAGGGAGAAATGAGTACAGATAGAACTGGCACAACAAAGCCTGTTCCCTGAGAAGTCACGCAGGATTGAGTTCCTGACTTGGGCCTTACCAGTTTTGGTGGCATTTCTTAAAAAGACAAGATGAAACGATGACAGAATGACTGATTCAAAATAGGTATTTGGTGTCAAGTTATTGACAATCTTAGGGTGTCTCTTCCTTAGGGAACTGATTTCTTTTAGACTTGATTGTTTTCTGTGGCGTTTCACCACAGGAAGACGGGACTGGGAAGGCAAGGCTGAAACCATTCGTTTTGTGTTCTTTGGTCTTTGGCTTATTAACCTTCTGAATTTGGGTGTCAGAATTTTGCCACACATCTGTGAAATAAGACAGGGTACGTGGTGACCTCAGTCTGCTCAGCAAGCATGGTGCCTTTACGCAGTGTGAGTGACACAGGACATGTGCCTAGTTCCAGCCCTTACGGGGCTCAAAGCTAAAGATGGAGCTCTGATGGTTTAGCGGTAAGGAATTGCGCTGCAGATACCAAGGTATGTGCTCCGAATCCACCAGCTGCTCCATGGGAGAAGGAAGATGGGCATTCTCCTCCTGTGCGATACGCTGCCTCTGAAAACCTGGGGAGGATCAGCTGTGGATTGGTTCCCACTTGACAGTACACAGAAACAACAACAAAGCGAAAGGTGAGGACACCTGCAGTTAACCCAGTCAGAGTCCTGACAGTGCTCTTGTCCTGGGGTAGCTTCTCATAATGAAGCAACAACCCAGCTTGATTCCTGCCTCTGGGATTGGAAGTAGGTACTTTACCTGACAGAACTTCAGGTTCCCTGGTGTCTGTTGCCTTTTGAAGGGAGGCGATTCCAACTACACAGGGACCATAGTCTTGAGACTGGCTGCTTATTGACCCCTGTTCAGGGTGAGCCCTTAGCCTGACTAAAGTGGTGGGATACAAGGGACTGGCCCCCACAGATGAACCTCACAGGAGGCAGTAGGACTTGTCTCAGTCATTATCTCTAGGATAACTCTGTTACTGTTGGTTTTGTTATGACGAGATGAGGTGGAGAGCCCACACTTGGAGCAGGAGAGGGTAGGAGTTGTCAGTGGTTCGTTCGTTCTGTCAAGGCCATGGTGACTCAGGGTCTCATGTCCCCTGGAGGGCTCTATCCACTATGCACTCCTGGCTCTTCTCTGTTCTGTACACAGTCAAATTCATTGACCTGGATCTTAACTCTAGACAGAATCCGTGACTGTGGGCTCACCCTTACAGAGGCCTGCCCCCCCGCCCCCGCACACCCACACGCACACGCACACGTCACCTTCCTGAGGTTACATCTTATCTTTCTTGAATGATGTTTTGAGTATTCTGGGTGCGTCAACTACCTGTTGACACTCTAGGTGGTTAATATCAGCATGGTTTGTGAGTTTCTACTGTGTTACTCTAAGAAGGTGATGGCTCAGTTATCTTAGTTCTTGGGGGGAGTACCTCACGATTTCCTTGTGTATTACAAACATTTAGACTAAACATAATACTCATTTTCTTTTTCTGACCTGTCCCTTCATGAGTGCCACTAAGACATCTCGGACAGAGTCGTTACGGCATAGAGGTCACATTGCTCCTGGCAGATTAGTCCTTTTGGCACTTGGGTTGGGTTGAGAATGACATCTCTGGGGTCTCACTCAGCATACTCCCACCCCGCAGCTTTGGTATGGGGATTGGGCAGTGAGCTTTAAAACGCCCAGAGAGGAGGCTGAGGTCTCTGCCCTGTGCACATCCAGCCTGGCTGCATCTTTTCTTTACTGTTGTCCTTGCTGCCCAGTGACCTGTGCTTGTGGGTGTGATCTTGCGTTCTCTGCCAAGCACTGCCTACCCAGGGTTGCGCTGGACACCTCAGGCACTTCTTGAGAATAGATTCTGCTGCTTTAGCTGGAGCCAGAAAACCACAGACCTAGAACCAGTATCTTTAGGAAACTTGCCTTTGGAGCACAAGCCAGTGAGTGGTTCTTGGTTACAGGCTCTGCCCTCCATTTTTCTGGCTGCTTAAGACATTAAGATGCTTTCCAGTAGCAAATAATATAAAGGCTCTCCAAGAACCACTAAAATGCTAAAAAGAGTCTACAGAAGTCTCTTCTTCTGTTTTATAAGAAGGAAGATGCATAATCATAATGCTAACAACATTTTTTTGTGTGTATGTGCTTTTTTAAAGGTACATGGGAATAGGCCTCTCAGCTCAAGGCGTCAACATGAACAGACTTCCTGGTGAGTCATTGGTTAAGAGAACATTTGCTCTGCTCTCCAGACCCTCTTTGTGATGAGAGTCATGGTGACAGCTCAGAGTCTGGAGAAGACTTTTGTTTGTTGATCACCTGCCCCAAGCCACGCTGCCAAGTGGAAGATGCTGAAAGGTGGCTGTGGGGCTGGACTGGTGTAGACTTCAATTCCAAAACATAATTGGCCGGTGACTGCCATCCATGGAATTTGAACTGTTTGCAGTCACAACCAAGTGACCTGAGCTTACGCCCCAAGAGCCCTCACTCTCATTGGCTTTTGTTAACCAACCTGAGACTCTGGCATGTACTGGGAGGGCGGATGCTGGTAACCCTGGCACCTAATGTTACTTCACTGTTTTTAAGATCAAAGTCTTTACACCACAGCCCATGTGGAACATGATTTAGGCAATTTCTTATTAAAAATGAGAGTGTGAGCAATACTTGGGTTTAACTGTCACCAGCCCCACGTTCATGGGATGCTCTGGGCCTGCAGATGAATCTCCCTGCCACCCAGATAGCCTTTCAGCTGCCTGCTGTCCAGCTGCTCATGTCCACTCCTGTTTGGGGAAAGCAGCTTTTGCAGCTTCTTTGGAACTAGTGGTTCCAGAAGATGGTCTCAAGTCACAGTGTATTCGTTAGGTGGAAGTAGTGACACAGTGTAAACTGTTCTGACAGTATCATGAGACAGGCAAACTCCCTTTGTTTTTACACTGACTTCACCACTCCTTGTGCCCGTGACACAGAAAAGGCTGCTGGCTTCTCCAGAGAAGGAGTGACACATAAACTGTACACTTTCCAATCCAATTTTAATACCAATGTAAGATTTTTTTTTCTGGACTGATTTAAAATATATAATACATAAACTGTACACTTGTTTAGGATTCAAGTACTTGTCAGCTTATTTCTTTGATATGAATAAAAACTGTTCTTACTTATCGCGCATGCTTGACCACCTCATGTGAGGTGTGTAGTCTTTTTAAACAAGCTACTTGACTTGAGGGAGCTCTGGCGTAGCAGCAAGGAGCTGCTCTGCCAAACCAAAGGCGTGAGAGCTGAACCCCCCAGCTGCTCCGTGAGAGAAAGATGGGCAGTCTTCTTCAAGGTGATTGGTTGACTCTGAAAACCCTCTGGAGGGTTAGGGTCAGTTCTGACTCAGTGGTACATATCAGCAACAACAATGACTTGCCTTGATTTGAGGTGTGTCTGGACTGTGCATAGCTCTGCATGTCAATAAATTGAGTTTAGAAAGATAATTTCCTATCGGCATTAAACTGATTGTTGATCTTTCATTTTGCTCTAAATGTGCTCTTGAAATTTGCTGTGCTTTGGTAGAGGAGATAAGAGGCATTTTTGGGCTTAATCTGTAAAAATCACTACTCAGTTAAAACAACCCTGAACACAGTTGCATCTGTACAGGGCAGTGCTATGGGTCCTTAAGAAGAAGGAGGAGGCTCTTCAGATACTGGTTTAGGGTCATCCCTAGCATACATTGTTAAGTAGAAAGTGCACGATGCAGAGCAATGTATAATATGCCACCAAATGTGCAAAAAAGAAATAAATCTTTGGAAAGCTATGGAAAGATTGTACCATTTGCTGTCCTAAAGGAAGGGGCAGGTTGACTGGGAAAGTAACTTTCTTTCTCTGTGACTATATTACTGTTTTTACAGTGTAAATAAAATTAATCACAAAATAAATAAAAGCACGCACCTCTGCTTTAAGAAGCCTTTCTAGGGAGCTCTGATAGCTTAGTGGCAAGAAGCTGCTCTGCAATCACAAAGGTGTGTGGTTCAAATCCACCAGATGTTCCGCTGGAGAAGGAAGGACAATCTCCTCCTGTGCCAGTCAGATCTGATTCGACAGTACAGAACAAGTAAAATAAAAAAAAATGAAGAAGCCTTTCTACCTGGCTTTCAGATGATCTTGGGATTTGACCTGTGGTGCTGGGTTTGATATTCTGGGTTCCATCTACTGCTGCTTCTCATTTAGTAACAACTGCTTTTACATGGTCCATTGAGTCTGGAATCCATGGAGTGGGATTGACAAGGTGGGAAGGTTTAAGGGTCAGTGTGGACTGACCTAACTCTCTTTGAGGTGAGGTCATGCGGAGTTGACATAGTCTCTTTTCCTTTATAAGATAGAGCTTTTGAGCTCTCTGGGCTGACTTGAGGCTAGTATTTGTCAGGTGCTTTGACACTGCTGATGTAAAGTTGTAGGAAAGTCTATATTTGGCCTTTGTGAAGTCAGACCCAACTCGGGCCTGGAAGGTGGGCCTGCAAGGTTCTTGTTTACAGTGGATGGGGTGTCTTGGTCTCCTCACTAAATACATCAGAGCTCTGAAAAGGATCACAATAGAAAGTTCCTGAAAGATTGGGAGAAAAATACCTAACAGAACTTAAAAATCATAAAAAAGAGCAAACTTACTGAGACTGTGGCCCTTAGTTACACTTTAAGCCTTTAACTAAAATCAATTCCATGACTCAACTTTCAACCCAACAATAGTCAGACTTAGAAGGTGATCAGTAACACCAGGGAGGAACACAGTCCTGGGCACGGTCAGCTGTACAAGATTTAAAGGGCAGCTTTTGCCCAAGCGTAGCTCAGAGGCAAGAAAGGATAGGAACGAATGACAAATGGGAGCGGGAAATACAGAGAAGAGACGAGGAGTGCTCTTACAATGTGGGGATTGCATTCACTGTTATGAAACATAATGCATATGGTTGGTTGAACGGAAAACCAATTTGCTCTGTAAGCTTTCTCTTGACTAACAAGAAAAAGTTTAAAAAAAATCACATCAGAAAAGTAAGCCCTATTTTTCTATCCTTAATGGCGCATCTGTTTCTTTTTGTCAAAACAGAGGGGTCTGCGTGTTGAGTGTATGTTGTACTTCGTGGTCACTCTGGCTGCCAGCTCCTGAAGGATTTTCCCCCCCTTCCTATCTGATCATCTCCCCAATTCTTCCTTCAGGTGGAAAGTAGGTGTCAGATTGCATCTTGATAAATTTCTCTTTGGGAAGGATGGAGGCCCCATGGCGTTTCCAGGATCCTGGGCAGACCTGGCATAGGGTGGACGGGAGGGTACCCCTCTCAGGAGTGATGATGGTGGGCCTGCTACTTTCATCCCGGTTCTGGGATTGAAAAATCAGAACCTCCTTTTGATGTTTTCCATTTTCAGGGACCCCTTTTTTTCTTTGCTGTTTTGATCATGCCCACTTTCTACAAATCAGCTTATTCATAAGCAGTTAACTTGAAGTTCCTTTTGGTTGTCTTTTAGTTGTTTTGGATGGTTTTATAGGGAACCTCTGAAGCATTTAAACAGAGGTGAGGTCTGCACATTGACTTCTCAGTATGAATGGAGGAACATAGCAGCTAAAATGGTTTTTTGGTTTTGGGTTTTTTTCCAGTTGCTTCCCCTTCGTAAAGGGGCTTTGGTTGAGGGGAGGGTAAGTGAATGGTGTGGGTAAGTACTACAGGTAGTGGTGGTAGGGAGTGGCTTAGTCTGGATTCAAATTTGAGGTTTCAGTATTAACTTGATAGGAGATGTGTAAAGGATGTTTTCTCGGCTTGCTGGCCTTCAGGATATGATTTCAGCTGTCTGCCGTCAGTGCTGCATGTCCTCATGTATACATGCGTGAACAGTTCTGTCTGAGGAGGAGCCTCTGGAGGGCCTGGAATGGGAGCCAAGAGGATTGACAGACCCTTTTAGTAAGTGCCAGGACTGAGACAGGAAAGGTGTATAGATCCCGGGGCTGCTTGCTGGGTGGAGCACCCAGGGAGTTGTCCTTCCTCGTCTCCTGGCACACGGCTTGGATTGCCGAGTAGCGACATGTGCAGGCTGCTAGCAGCCTCGGGGTTTACTTCAGGCAGCACTCTTTCATCCTAAAAGAGGCCCCTAGATAGAAAAGGGTGGCCTGGTCCTGGGCCAAGGAAGCTTTGGTGTTATTCCTTCCAGTATTCTGGGATGCTTTTGTCAGGGCAGTTCTGGCTTCCCTGGCCAGGTTTTTACATGGCAGCAGTAACACTGACAGCCCGGTGACTGTTCCTGAGTTCCCGAGCCGCTGGAGAGCTGAGATTCCAGATAGTTCTTTTGTCTGTGGAGAACTTGGAAGGTTGTTCTTTGGCACCATCACAGCTTGTGAACGAGACTCTTTCTCACCCCTGCACTGTGCTCCTGTTGGAGCTGCTAGTTACCAAGAACTGTGTTCCAGGCTCTGTCCTGGGTGCCTTCCAGACAAGTTTCGGATTTAGCCACTGCCGTTTCAACGCTGTTCTTTTTTTGCGCCTACTGTGTGCCAGGTGCTGAGGCTGTTCCCAGCACAGGGTGAGCAGATACAATACCTGTCCCCGTCGACCTCAGCCCAGGGGGAGAGGCAGATACTGAGTGAATGACCCTGCAGTTGGTCACTATGCCCTTTGGTCAGTGCTGTGAGGGACAGTGCAGGGCGCAATGGGCCTCCATGGGCAAGTGACGTTCAGGCTGACCCCTGAAGGATGGGGAGGAGTCATGCGGTGATCAAGGGAGGAGAGCGAGTGGAAGAAGGTTCTAGGCTAACTTAGGGGGTATATGGAATGAGCTGGACACTGAGGAAGTAAATGTAGATCTACAGGGGTGGCCTTTGTGGTCGGCAGAGCCTGGTGAGGGGTTTGGGTGGCCCTGGGTGTTGTGTGGAGTTGCTGAAAGGTTTAAGCTGCGGGAGGTCCTACCCATACTGGCTTGTCAGAATTTGGAAGGACAAGAGTGAGATAGATAAAGAGGCTACTTAGGAGACTGTCACCATGGTCCAGAAGATGATGATAGTAACTTGGAGTAGACAGTGACTACAGGTGGGAAGTGAAGGCAGGGCAGGGTTGAGCTCAGTGGGCGGTGATTCAGCTGGACTTGGTATCACCGGAGTGGTGGGTGGTTGAGTTTCAAGACATAGGCACAGCGCTCTGGTGTGCTGGTGATGATTCATTTCAAGAACGCCTTTATTGATGCAGTAGCCAGTGATGA